CCATATTTAAAAGGGCACCAACCAAAAACTACTGCGTAGAATTAATTGGAATTTTTCACACACAAGCCTTGCTATATGAGCTCTCAAAGCATATAAAAATTATACGGCTTAAATGTGAAGTTGGGTGCAAAAGAATACAATTAAATCCTCTATCGGGAAAAAACGAAATGACTTTCCGAACAACCCTATATATATCGAGTGCGGCGTTTATGATCTTATTGATAATTTTAACTTTTGAAACAAAAAAATATTATTAACTATTTTGTTTTATTTTGTGCCAGGAAGTCATGGTTTCTTTTATTGATTATAAACGCTACACCTTATGTTTATTACCTTTACATAACCCAACTAGTTATTATCAATTATATGTAGACAAGGGGTGGTTCAAGCATTATGTAACTTAAATCTTTAAAAATTTTTGAACGTTCCGTTTGTAAGGCACCTTAATTGCTTTCTAAACGTAATGTCAACCATGCGATCATTATCACCTAAAAATTTCGCTCAAAATTGCACTTTCCAACTTTATTTTCTAAAAAACATTACAAATAGTAAAATTTACCCATTGTGTGTAATTAGGATTCATTTTTGCGAATGATAAAGCAGTTGCAATTCGAATCACGTAATGATGTTTTCTGTTTTACAATAAGCCGTGTACCTCATTAGGAAACACAAATGATGATGAAGCAATTAAAAAATATAAAAAAGAAAAAATATGCAGTTCGTTATGAACAAAATACGTTTAACGGACAAACTGAAATATGTCCGTCGCGAATTGATTATCTGTGTTTTTTTATTACGGGGACCAATTAACAAGAAAATTTATGTACTTACAGTAAATAAAGTAGGTAGAAATAATATACTAAAAAGTGCAGTGACAACTTCAGAACATAGAAATTAGTAACTAATTATTAGTTTAATTCTTTGTCAGTTACTGGGTTAATTATACGATAGGCAATACAGTAAAAGTTCCTTATTCACGGTTTCCTTATTCGCGTTTTCATTATTCGCGGGTGAAAAAATTGCAACCCAATTCTTGCATTCGCGGCTAAAAATTTCATTATTCGCGGATGCAATCGGTAAGCAGAAAACGATTCGGTTTTATTTAATTAAGGAGATTGACCGCAATAGATCGCCCGTGCCTAGTGTGAATTTTCCCGAATACATGAGTTTCTATTCTAAACACTGTGATTTAACGCTGCTAGATAAATATGTGTTTTTTGTACAGTAACAGACAAAGGTTACGGTTTTGGTTTTCAATGATATTACCATTAAAAGCTTTTACAAATACTTAAAGTTGATGCTTCTTGTAGGACACGTATTTTCAATAGAAAAAAATTAAGAAATGGCCTTCTACAGACTTTAGAACAAAGCTTTATCTATCTTACTACAAAATTTAAAACCTCTGTTCCAAACATTAAACTCATGATATCTAGAACCGGTAAGCTGAATCCCCTTAAAGTATCGGCATCTTATGGGTACGTAGAGTTGATACGTGTCGAAGCGGCTTTTATAAAAAATCTAACCGAGTAGAAAAGGATTCGGTGTTATTTTTCAACGTATCAGCATCTTTTGAGTACTGTTGGCTCGTGCCGAAGCGACTTTTATAAAAGATGTAACCAAGTGGACTAATTTCAAAATTCAATACAAGAAAAAATCACTAAACTTTTTAAACCTTGTCTAAAGCTGATTATAACGATTAATTTTAATACATCAATACATTGATTTTATTTTGATACATATTGGTTTTATTTTGGAACGTTAGAACGTATCCCCTNTCCTTGGCTTTACGTGCCATTGCTGCACCACTAAGCTACGAGAGGTGACAACAGCAACAATATCGACGATTTATAACTAGCTAATTTTAGTAAATGTTTCATTGTTAATAAGTAATGATTATAGTATATTGGTTCGATGATTCCGTCGTCTATATATATAGTTAGGTTATTGTCTTGTTGCTGCTGTCAATTCTCATAGCTTATAGTTAGTGATATAGTAATGCTGCGTAAAGTCAGGAACCCGGGTTCGATTCCCGACGAGGGCCTCATTAATTTGAGGTTATCTGAAGTTGTAAAAATTAATTAACTTTAATGTATTAAGTAGAATCTTGACTTTTTCGTTTACATACATCTTTTCCATCTTTAACGTTTTTCGTTTATTAGCCAAATATTGCGTGTTGTTTCATTTTAGACAGTGGTCATCTCATTACAATTAGTCAATTAGTTTAAGGGCAAACAAACTAAAATATTGTCAGTATTTAAGATAAAAGCTATCAGACCTTTACAGCAGACACTTCTTTGAATTTGGAATTCAATTAGTTTTTAAAAATATTTTATCGTACACTTAAATGGCGCACCCTTCAAACAAGCACCTCCTTTTTAAAAGCTTTTACAACGAAACAAGTTGGAAAAGAATACCCTGACACGTCCTCTTGCTCTTTCAACCCCTTCGATATCGCCTGCGATGGAAACCTGATTACTCTTTTCAGTGGGGTTTGATCTGTTCGAATCTGGAAAATGCACGTGACACTGAGTTTCCTCCATTACCCTTTTGATGCTATGGCCTCCCTTCCCTATTATATGTGAGTGGTCTGTGTAGCTTACGTCCATCTTCATGATTACCCGATTGCTCTGGAAACATTATTAACGGTACAATACCTAACGACAGTCATTTTAAAACAGAAAAAAATGTTGTTTGTTATTATTGTGTTTGTTGTTGTATTGTTGAAGGCTCAGCTCAATTTACTGTTGTGCAGAGTTTCAGTCGGTTACAACGAACACAGATTAAGACAAACGCTTGACTTTAACGTTTACAGTACCTTTCCGTTACCGAATATATTTACTACAAGCATTTCATCTTCAAAAGGTCGTCAGTCTTAAGACTTCTTCACTCTTTCCTATTCTGAGCTAATCTTCGCAATTCCCTAAAACTAGAACATTCCACATCCTTAACTATTTGCGAACAGTAATCTAATCTAGGTCTACCTCTACTCCTTCTAACACCTGTTTCGGCCTCTAATATGTCTCTGACTAAATCTTCATGCCTGAGAAGATGTCCTAACAGCCTATCTCGCCTATTTCTTATTGACTTCCATAGAGTCCTCTGTTCACCTATTATTTATATTACCTCTTCATTTCTAACCTTCTCTATCCACGGTATCCTCATCATTCGCCTGTAACACCACATTTCGAACACTTCTAACCTTTTTTTTTCCGCCGCGTCCACTGTTCATGTTTCGCACCCGTACAAAGCCGAGCTCCAAACAAACACCTTTAACAATCTTTTCCGATTTTCTAAATTAACCGTTTGCGAGCATAGATGTGACTTCTTTCTATTGAACGCGACTCGACCTTGCGCTATCCTCTATTTTATATCCCTACCACTCCTTCCGTCCTGACTTATCTGACTTTCTAGGTACCTAAAATCAGTCACTTTTTCTAATTTTTCGTCTCCTAACTTTATATTCACTCTTTCCCTACTTTTTCTTCCCTTGCAAACCAGTATTTTTGTTTTACTTTTATTTATTTTCAAACATACTGTTTTGTCAGTAGTGCCGTTCATTTTATTTATAGCTATCTCTATCTCCTCCTTGCTAAATGCTAAAACTGCTCTATAATCTACAAACCTAAGCATATTAATCTTTTGCCCCTGTATATCTATCCCTACAGTTGTACTGTCTTTAATGATGTTGATCGCGCCTTCGATGTGTAGATTAAAAAGTAGCGATGAGTGTGCATCCCTGTCTGACTTCTTTCCTAAGATCTACTTCCCTACGTTGTAGACCCAGCTCTATAACTACCTGTTGCTCTTTTTACAAACTATGTATCACCCTTTTATCTCTGTAACTCATCCCTACATTTTAAGGAACAGTATTTTTTCTGGTTAAAAGGTACCTATGTCCGTTTCTGTACTCCTGTAGAAAATTTGCATTCGCAGTTATGTCAGTTAGGAACTCTTTGTTATAATATTTAAACACATTAAACACTCTTTAAACAGCGTCTACAGAAATATTATAACAAAGAGTTCCACACATTTAACATGCCTCAAACAAAGACAATTTTACATACCTATGCTAAATTAATCCGATCGCTTGATCTAGATATCGTTACTAACTATAGAGATATAATTCCAATGACTTCCAATGTACTTTCAGAAGAACATTAAGTAAAACCGAGAAAGGTAAGCGTATCCGTGGATCCAATTCAATGAATTAAGTATGCCATTAAACTTTATGGCTTATTTTTGTAATTTCAACAGTACTATACTTGGCAGGTGTTTTCAAAAATTTAGATAATGATTTTGTGCAAAATCTTTTAAAGAATTGTAAGACAAGAAATAAAACAATATGAAAATATTTAAGTCAAACATCTTACTCTTGTGTCCAGGACCGTCATAATTCTTTCTTTTGCAGTGTGAACATCGTTTGGTCTTCCTGCTATTCGGACATGGGGATCTAAAAGCAAAATTTTCATATTTATTGATCGTATCAAACAAATCAACATTTCTTTTCTGTATAATTATGGATCAGTTGGGTTCCAGACAAAAATCAATCAAAAAAATTTTCTAGACTACATACATTTTACAGGTAAAATATTTAGTCTGAATATTATACTACCATTTAGACATTATACCTACACTCTGTCTGATCAGTATTCCATCTGGAGGTAGTGTTGAGTGCAGCTCGTGAGAGAGCAATAACGTAAGGGGTGTAAAAGGTATGCACAAAATGTACCCCAAAACGAGCCGTCAATGATTGAGAACAGTTGTCAGTTTAGCAGCTGCTTTATCTTATCGCCCTTCATTATCACAAGCGTCAAGTGACGAAACCCTCATACCTACTCGTGACCTTCACAGCAGCTGGTACACAGGCAGGACTATTGCAAGTGTGACGGATCCCGTTGTTACTGTTTGATTAGCAAAGTTACAGTTTTTTCCACAAAATACAAAAAAAAGTTGAGTGTGAAAATATTAAACAAAAAAAATGTATTCGCACTCAGAATATGGCAATCAAATACGGACGGCGTAGAGAGAATTCACTAGCGACATCACGCGAAGACACGTCATTGCCGGAGCAGTTGGGGCTTTCAGTAAGGTTATAACCCTCATGTTTATGTATATCACTGAGTGGTGTGAAATGACTCATTCCACTTTTTTTCATGTACCTAATTCTCCCTTAATTTCTCTGGAGTACTGATCAGACACAGTGCACCTGTATGTTAATCGAAATGTTCGAAAACGGTCATCGACCGTATTTTTTGGCCAATTCTACAACTTTTACAAAAAGAGAAGAAAAGCTACTCGTATTTGGTGATTTTATGTGTAAGAATATGTTAAGTTAGAGATGGATCAGGTTGCACTAGATTTTTTTTTTAATTTCGTTCAAAGTTGGAACACATCGCATTGGTCATCCGCCAGTCGAGCATTCATAAGCCCATACAGAAGCTACAGTTTGAACATTAATCTTAACGACGAGACGTTCAATCATACAATTATGATCATCTTTCGAGTTTTACGAACAACTTATTCAGTATCCACTCAATTTAAACAAGATGATTGGCGCAGAATTAATTAATAAATATTAGTTTTTTTTATACCTATTGCAGGGATCGAATAAATTAGTTCAACGTCGAATTAAATAAAAAAATGGCAAAAA